ATATGTACTTGAGTGTATGCATGGCAGGATCCTGCAGGGGTCAGAAAAATGTGTGTGGTTCCCTAGAACTGGAGTCATGGGTAGTTGTGAGATGCTGTGTGGGTGATGGGCGGCAGACATGGCTCCTCCACGAGCCACAAGTGCTCTTAACTGCTCAGCCCTCATTGTTCCTTTTCAGAACAACCTGAGCCGGGAATTCCCATTTTGTTCTAGAGCTGATTCTGGGCCCCAGCAGCAAAGCCAGCGTCCTTCCCAGGGACCTTGTGTCTGCTGGGTTTGACCTGTCCTTGGAGGACCTGTTAGGTTACAGGAGTTGACATCTTTAGCGCAGCTGCCTCTTTCCCCTGGAGTTAAAGCAGGAATGGAGGAGCAGCTGGGTCTAGGTTAAAGGTCATTTTAGGCAATCCCGTCATGGGCTTGGCTCAGCGTTGGGTGGGGACTGAATTGCCCCCAGAGGCAAAGTGGTAGGGAATCTCTGCCTGGAGGTTGACTTCAGCCCCATCTGTATTCTAATCCCACGCTGGCCTTTCTCTGACTCTGCAGCAGGGGGTTGGGACTTGTCTCCAGAGCTATGCATTTGACTGAGCTTTGGGGACTCCAGTCAGCTGTATCTGTCAGGGGTGAGGACAAAGAGCCTAGTCAGCAGCCAGGCTTGCCTTATCCATTTCCTGTTCCCAGGGCCAGGAGTTCTGGAAGAAGCTGGGAGCTGTGAGGGGAGCCAGCTCTTCAGGCAGGTCTCTCAGTGCTCAGGTCTCTTGGTACAGGATTTTGCATCAAATCGAGCCTCCCTCTCCGTGGTTAGAAAAACAAATACAGTAGTGGGGAACCTGAGCAGTAACAGGAGGGATGAAGAGAATGGGTGGAGAAGCAACAGGGATCAAAATATTCTCAGCCTTTGTGTGTGCGCACGCGCATGTGTGCGTGGTCAACTGACTCTTTCACAGGGGTTGCATATCAGATATTCTCCATATTAGATATTTACATTATGATTCATAACAATAGCAAAATTACAGTTGTGAAGTAACAACGAAATGATTTTACGGTTGTCGTCACCACAACATAAGGAACTATATTAAAGGGCCGCAGCATTAGGAAGGTTGAGAACCGCTGCTCTGCCTTCTCATGGCAGGAGTAGGAAAAGGGGGTGGGCTGGCTGTCTCTGCTTTTCTGTGCTCATGACCAAGAGCAGAACCGAGACAAGGGCCCCGCTGCACGGAGCTGCAGACTCCGTGAATCAGAACGATTACCTTATGTCTATTCCGGTTCCGTGTTGTGACCTGTGGTTTCCCTGTAGCCTAACCGAACTTCCGTCAGCAGAGATTCTCGGGGTCCTGGTCGCCCCACAGAGCGGGGCTGAGCTACCACGTGCATAGTAGACCACGCACAGAGACAAAACAAGAGTAGAAGCAGAGGGAGATGACTAAGTATGGCTACACTGAGAAGAGAAACTGGCAAAGAGGTTCAGCGTATCCTGACATGCAGCTTAGGTTTAAATAGAGCGACCATTAGGAAGAGTGAGAGTGAGAGGTGCGCCTCGCTAAGCAGTCCCAGGGTCCCAGTGGTCTCGCCCACCCGGCCCCTCATTGTCTTAGTTTCTCGTGGCTCTTGCAAAGCGAGCTGAGAAGATGTCAGAATTGTGTGAAATCTCTTTGAGTCACAAGGGTTTTTTTTTTGTTGTTGTTGTTTTGTTTTGTTTTTTTCCAGTTGGCTCCAGCCTTCAGCCTTTTTCTTCTCCCAGCATGAGACTCCTAGAGAAATTCCAGTTTCTTAGGGACCATTGCTTTAGAGTCTGCTAGCCAGAAGTGGGGAGATGGAAGTTTCACTGTAAAATGTCTTCACTCCTGCCAGGTGGTCTCCAGTCTAGGGCTCCCACTCCCCCCGAGCATGTGGCTGCAGCAGCGGGGCTGTGTGCAGTGTTTCTAATGCAAACCTGCTTTACGGTGTGAGTGTATAAGTCAGAGCTGAGCCTAAAGGTGAGGAGTAGAGATTACAGGATGGGGAGACGGGCTTCGTGGCAGTTGAATAGCTGAGGGTGGAAGTCCAGTGGCTGGTAAGGGGTGGCCGGCTGGCTGAGGAAGATCTGCATTTGGCAGGCTTGTGGGAGAGCAAGATAAAGGCACTTCATTTTGTGGCATTATTGAGGAGACAGTACACTTGTGTCTTTAATTATTAACTTAGTGCTGGGGTGGCCTGGAGCGCTGGGTACACGTTTGCTTAGCCTTGTGATAAGGTTTGGTTGTTTATTGTCGTGTCTATTAGGCACAAAGGCCTGTATTTGAATAGAGCCAGAAGGCTCCTCAGTGAAGTCAGAAAACAAAGGAGGCAATGAATAGAAAGCAGGCCAGGGAGCCGGGCAGCTGGGCAAAGTGCCCGCAGCTGCTCAACAAAGAAGCCATGAGTTCGGATCCTCAGCTCTTGCTTCAAGAGGCAGGTGGCTGAGTGCTTTCGGGAAATCGGTGCGCTCCAGGTGCAGGGAGATTATCTCAAAACAGCAGGGTGGAGAGCCAGTAAAAGCTCCTGCCAGCGAGCCCACGTTCCACCTCCCCCGTGGTGGAAGGTGAGAATGACTCCCACAAGCTGTCCTCTGGCCTCCACGTGTGCGCTGCGGAATGCACACTCACAAGGGAATAAGTGTAATAAAAGATAAGGTGGAGAAGTGGAGGAAGACGCCTGACATTGGCTCCCATCTGTGGCCTCGCCTACACACAGACACAAAAGTGCTTCTTAGTGGAGTGGCCTCTGGGCCAGCTGGGCTGGCGTGAGAGTGAGGCCAGGACCTAACAACCAGAAGAGGTCTGCCGACCCTGAGGGCACTGCCAGGACACAGCTGGGAGTAACAGCGTTGCTTTCTTTCCTTCTGAGACAGATAAAAAGCTCTGGAGCCCGGGCTGGCTTGCGATTCACTATGTAATCCAGGTTGGCTTCCAGTTAAAATTAGTAGGTGTATAAACTGACAACATGACTGCTCCATGGGATGGTTATGGGGGAGTGTTTTTTGTTTGTTTTTTTTTTTTTTTTTTTTCTCTGAGACAGGATTTCTCTGTGTAGCCTTGGCTGTCCTGGACTAACTTTGTAGGCCAGGCTGGCCTCAAACTCACAGAAATCCGCCCACCTCTGTCTCCCCTAGTGCTGGGATTAGAGGTGTGTGCCACTGCTCCTGGTTATGGGGAAGGTTTTTATTTTTATTTTTATTTTAATTGTAGATGAGAGAGAGAATAGTGAGAATAGCAGGTTTATAAGTATGAGCAGCCAGGGAGAGGGAGGCCTGTGAGCTGGGGTAGGGGAGAAAGTGAGAAGAGCTAGGATGCTAGCATGGACTTTGAAATGTGTAACAGGTACTTGTGATGCCAGGGAAACCTGGAGGCCAGCATGCACGTTGGTATGCTAATAGGCACCACAGGTAGCCATTACTGTCTTCTGCCAGTGAGACTTCTGCTGGTGGAGGGAACAGACTTCACCAGTTCCTGAGGAACGCAGGCTTCTATCTAATCTCCAGAAATCTTCCTACAGTCCAGGCTGAGCCTGTTTCTGGATATTTGGATTGTCATTTGGAGTTTGGGGACCTGGAGTCTCCTTTGGACCTAACATTAGGCAATCCCCCTGTCTTAGTCTTCTGAGTGCTTGAAAGCCTGAGCCGCTGCCCTTGGGCAAGGCTAGCTTTGCTCTGAGAGCCTTTGTGGGGAGGCTTGACAGTCAGGTACTCCGTGGGGGGCTGCGGTTGCTGGGCTAGAAGAAGCTGTGCATTGATTGCTTCCCTGTGGCGTGGGCACGGGTCGGGTGGTGAATATGCTGCCTGCTCTCAGAGGAGGCTGTGTGAAGAGTCTCGGAGTTGTTTTCTCTGACTTTCTTCCCTCCGAATCCAGAATCCCTGAGCTATCAGTCAGCCACACAGCGGATGAGGCTTCCCTTCTTGAATTTCTTCCAAAGTAATGCATTGTGATGATGATGATGATGATTAGGTTTTTCCAGACAGGGTTTCTCTGTGTGTAGCCTTGGCTGTCCTGGATTCACTCTATAAAACAGGCTGGCCTTGAACTCACGGAGATCCACCTGCCTCTGTCTTTCGAGTGTTGGGGTTACAGGTGTGGGCCACTACCACCTGGCAAGACTATCATTATTTGAAAGGATTTGAACCTATGGCTTCATGCATTTGAACCCACCACCTACCACTGAACTATACCCCCAGCTACTACTCTGAGATGTTGATGAAAGATAGGGATTCTTTTTAGAAGAATGTGTAGTCTCACATACCATAATGCTTTGCAAGATGCTGTCATACCCTGCTATCAACGCTCATTCTGAGGATGGTCTGTGAACTTTCCCTGAGTTCATCCTGGTAGAGGGATTGATTGCCTCTAGCCCAGGGTGGAGGGACTTGAATGTTTATGGCTCACACTGTTGCATTATTCAGGCAGGAAAAGTGCCCTGCCCTCTTTCTTGTTTTAGCAAGAATTTCATAAAGCATAAAACAAATAGTGGGGCCGGTGGGCTGGGGGGGGGCAGGAAGTTTGGTCTCTATTCTAATCTTTGGACACACACACTGACCTGCTGCCCTAGACACTGAATAAATGACAGCAGGACTTGTTGTGGTTAATAACAGCATAGAGCCAGGATGTTGAGTTCTGGACCTGTGTGTGCTGGGGGTGGGGAGCAGGGGCATAGGAAGGAGAGAACGATTTTAAAGGGCAAAGGACCGGTACTAATCGGCATAACCGCCGGGGGCCTCCCAGGCCTGTCACCAGAAGTTCTGCCACCTTGTTCTGTGACTCCAGTTTAAGGTAGTAGGGTTTGGGAGCATGGAAGGGTAGACACAGGCGTTCAGCAAATGCCTTGCAGGAGTGAAGCTGAGGATAGTTGGGAGCAAACAGGCTCAGCCCAGACACAAAGCTGACTCTGCCTGGTGGGTTCACCTTGATAACTGCTGCTGGGAAAGCTGCTTTGGAGTCTAAGGTCCTCCTTGTGGGAAGGGTAGGTCATGAGCAGTATTGTTTTTCTTTCAGGTCTCTTAACCTTCATCAACTGTGCCTATGTCAAGTGGGGGACCATGGTCCAGGATATTTTCACCTATGCTAAAGTGCTGGCGCTGATCGCCGTCATCATTGCAGGCGTTGTTACACTGGGCCAGGGTAAGAAAAAAAATAGCAGCTGAATTTTATTAAACTTTTTTTTCTTTTTCTTTGGAGTGTTGGGGCTCAAACCCAGAGTTCAAGCAGCACATCTCAGAGCTATACCTTCACTAGGAGCCTCCGACTGACCTTATTTAAATCTCCAACTACCGTATTTGGTAGGCACTATTATTATAGCTTTTATATAACTGAGGAAACAGGCCATGGACTCATCTGTCTTAAAACAGGCAGAATGGTGCATGCCTATAATCCCAGCACTTGTGAGGTAGTTGGTGGCAAGAACATCAGAAGTTAAAGGTTGTCCTCAGCTACACAGAGAGTTTGAGGCCAGCCTGAAACACAGAAGACCTTGTCTCAAAACAAAACAACAAAACCCCAAAGCTGGGTATGCTGGTTTATGCTTTATCCCAGAGCTCAGAGGTAGAGTCAGGTGAATCTCTGAGTTTGAGGCCAGCCTAGTTTACATAGCAAGTTCCAGGCCAGCCAGGGCTACACACTAAGACCCTATTTTAAAGCAAAAACAAAGCCTACAAATTGATTACTCAGGTTGACTATCTGGCTCAAGTTCCTAGTGGTCAATAGAAGGGCTGAAACTTGTGCCCCACGGACTGACTTCAAAGCCCATTCTTCAACTTCTGCTATGCTGCCTCCCCTAGGAATTGGCCTTGGCAAGTGGGCTGACAGCTACGCTCTGGGGATTGGCTTTTACAGCTTGCTAGGCCTAGTACCATTACTCTTCCATTTCTGCCCTTGGAGGTGAGCAGTCAGAAATGCACTCCTTGTCCTCACTCCTACCTGGTTTCCAGGTATGAAGCTTTCCCACCAACTCCTCTGTCGGCCTGGGCATTCTGAACCCCTTTCTCCTGAATTAGCCCTGGCTAGTGTTAGGAGGTAGATAGGTGCCAGGAGCCAAAGCTATCTACTGAAGCCAAAGTCAAAGTTATCTAGTGGAGCCAAAGCTATCTACGGAAGCCAAAGCCAAAGCTATCTAGTGAAGACTAAGCTATCTACTGAAGCCTAAATCAATTAGTGAGTCAAAGCTATCTAGTGGAGACAAAAGGTGTTTACTAGGCCAAAGCCAAATAATGAGCAAAGGTCATTTAGTGGAGACCTAAAGCTATTTAGTGAAAGTTATCTAGGACCCTAACTCATGGGTGAGAGACTGTGAGGACATCCATTTGTTAGAGCATTCATGAGAAAACATCCCTAAGTTATCTTGCAGGCACCCTATTTAACACATGAAAGCACTCTTCCTGTCTCCTGCAGCAGCTAATTACCTTCCCCCTTTCCTGCCTTCTCCCTATATAAGTTGGGTAAAAATTTCTGATAAACGGAAGCCTTGATCAGACAAACAGACTTGGCTCCCTTCCTTGCGCTTCTTGTCCTCCCCCCCAATTCCTTCCACTCTCCTCCCTTAGGAACACCGTTGAAGCCCTGCTGGTCTGGGGCAGATAGGACTCAGGCAGCATGGAGTGTAGAGCAGAACACCACCTCAATTTTTGGCCGTTTGGTTCTGGGTAGTTTCTTATCTTAGAGTCACTTGAGTTCTTCCTGTCAAGACCACATCTATGATTCTCTGCACCGCAGCCCTCTCTTCTGTCCCTGGCCCCTCCGTGGCCGTGTAGCCATTTACCTGCTGTTGTATGCGTTTTCTCCTTTACAGGATCAGCTGAAGTAGGATGGGCCATTAAATCTTGTCTTCCATTGTTCTCACTTTCCAGGAGCCACAACTAACTTTGAGAGCTCCTTTGAGGGTTCCTCATCTGCAATGGGTGACATTGCCCTGGCACTATACTCAGCTCTGTTCTCCTACTCGGGCTGGGACACCCTTAACTATGTCACCGAAGAGATCAAGAATCCAGAGAGGTAGGTACTTCGCCACCACTCTCTGCACCAGTGGTAGCCACCATTTACAGGGCTTCTCCAAGCCAGGCCTCATGCCTTCCCAACTCTGGATGCGTTCCACCAGGGTGATTTTAACAGCTCTAACACCTACACACTTGCCCATGATTTCAGCAACGGTGCTAAGATGTGCACTTTCTTGCATATGCTTTGTAAATCCTTTCAGAAAAGTTTGCACATCTACTCATGTCTACAGTCAGTAAAGCAGGACATACTTGGGCTTATGTATGCTTTTAGACACCCACAGTCCTTGCCAGCCACTCAGGAGGCTGAAGCAACAGGACTGCTTTAGCCTTCGGATCTGTAAACTAATCCATGCAGTGTTGTGTGATAATCTCATAAAGCCTTTTCTGTCTTAAGACCTTCACTCACCCTTATGCCTACAGAGATAACTTTAGGTCATAGGCTTCCTTCTTCTGTTTCCCTGCTGCGCCCTTTCTCTCTGGCCTAATTCATATCGACAGCATGGCATTGCTCCAGCCATTCACGGGGTCACCCCATCGGTGGAGCCCTGAAGTCATGCAGAATGCGGAACATTGGATGGGAAACCTGGAGAGGTCTTTCCTCGGCAGATTCCCATTTTCTTTCATTCTTCCTTTCTCTCTCTCTCTTTCTTTCTGCATGTACTTGCTTTCCCATGTTCTTCCTATGTTTTGTTTTGAGACAAACTCTGACAGTGTAGCCCTGACTGGTCTGGAACTCACTATGTAGATCTCAAAATCATACAGTTCCCTTTGCCTCTCAAGCACTAGGATTAAAGGCATGTGCTATTATTTATTATTTATTATTTATACAGCATTCTGCCTCCACACCAGAAGAGGGCACCAGATCTCACTATAGATGGTTGTGAGCCACCATGTGGTTGCTGGGAATTGAACTCAGGACCTCTGGAAGAGCAGCCAGTGCTCTTAACCTCTGAGCCATCTCTCCAGCCCCAGCCCTTCCTTTTTAATCTTTACTCAGATGACTTTTTCTCCTTTCTGTGACAGCATCTCACTGTGTATGTAGTCCACATTGGCCTCAAATTTGAAACCTTCCTGACAATGCCCAGCTTGCCTGGTTCCCCCCCCCCCCCCCCCCCCCCCCCCCCCCCCCCCCCGTGTCTCCTGTGTGTGCACATGCTTATGGAAATGACTTTGGTATTATTCTTCAGGTATTGTCTACTTAAAAAAATGTATTTATAGTTGGGCCCAGTGGTGCATGGCTCAATCCCAGCACTAAGGGAGGCAGAGGAGGTCGATCTCTTTGAGTTCAAAGCCAGTCTGGTCTACAAAGTAAGTCCAGGACAGCCAGGGCTACACAGAGAAACCTTGTCTTATATGTACAAGTGTGTGCCTGAGTGCGTAGGAATTCGTTAGTGCACATTAGCCTGCAGAGGTCAGGAAAAGGGTGGGCTCTTCTGGAACTGAAGTTATAGACAGCTGCGAGCACTAATATGCACAGTAGGAGCAGAACCTGGGTCCTCTGACGGAACAGGGGTTCTTTTTTTTTTTTAATTTTATTTTTTTCTTATCAGTTACATTTTATTAACTCTGTATCCCAGCTGTATCCTGCTCTCTCCTTCCCTCCCAACCCCACCCTCCCTCCCTCCCTCATCTCCACCCTGCCCCTTTCCAAGTCCACTGATATGGGGGACCTCCTCCCCATTCATCTGATCCTGTTTTATCAGGTATCTTCAGGACTGGCTGCAAAGCTCTCCTCTGTGGCCTAACACGACTGCTCCTCCCTTGGGGGGTGGGGAGGCCAAAGAGCCAGTCATTGAGTTCCTGTCAGAAATAGTCCCTGTTCCCCGCACTTTGGGAAACCAATTGGCTACTGAGCTACCACAGGCTACATCTGAGCGGAGGTTCTAGGTTATATCCATACATGGTCCTTGGTTGAATGTCAGTCTCAGAAAAGACCCCGTGCCCAGATATATTTGGTCCTTGTGGAGCTCCTATCCTTTCCCCATCAGATTAACTCCCCTTCTTTCTTATGATTCCCTGTACTCTGCCGAAGGTTTGATCATGAGTCTTTGCTTTGACAACACTGCTAGTTAGAGTCTTTCAGATGCGCTCAGTAGACTCGTGTCATACATTCAATGCACATCCCATCTGTCTTTCTAAACGAGGATTGATCATCTTACCCCATGTCCACTCTCTTGATTATCTTTTTTAGGTGTATAGATTTCATTATGTTTATCATATCTTATAGGTCTATATAAATGAGTATATACCGTGTTTGTCTTTCTCCTTCTGGGATATTTCACTCAGAATGATCTTTTCTAGATCCCACCATTTGCCTGCAAATTTCATGATTTCCTCTTTTTTGATTGCTGAGTAGTATTCCATTGTGTAAAAATACCACAATTTCTGTACCCATTCCTCCGTTGATGGACATCTGGGTTGTTTCCAGGTTCTGGCTATTACAAATAAAGCTGCTATAAACATGGTTGAGCAAGTATCGCTTTTGTGTACTTGAGCAAACTTTGGGTAAATACCTAGCAGTGGTATAGCTGGGTCTTGAGGAAGCACTATTCTTAATTGTCTTAGAAAGCGCCAGATAGATTTCCAGAGTGGTTGTACCAGTTTACATTCCCACCAGCAGAGGAGGAGGGTTCCCCTTTCTCCATAACCTCTCCAGCATGTGTTGTCACTTGAGTTTTTCATCTTGGCCATTCTGATGGGTGTAAGGTGATATCTCAGGGTCGTTTTGATTTGCATTTCCCTGATGGCTAATGAGGTTGAGCATTTCTTTAAGTGTTTCTCTGCCATTCGATATTCCTCCGTTGAGAATTCTCTGTTTAGCTCTATTCCCCATTTTTTTTAATTGGATTACTTGGTTTGCTGCTTTTCAGCTTCTTTAGTTCTTTATATATACTGGATATGAGTCCTCTGTCAGGTAAAGGGTTAGTGAAGATTCTTTCCCAATCTGTAGGCAGTCGTTTTGTTTTGATGACGGTGTCCTTTGCTTTACAGAAGCTTTTCAGTTTCATGAGGTCCCATTTATTGATTGTTGCTCTTAGAGCCTGTGCTGTTGGTGTTCTGTTCAGGAAGTTGTCTCCTGTGCCAATGAGTTCTAGGCAGGGGTTCTTTTTTTTTTTTTAACAGATTTTTTTTTATTAATTACACTTTATTCACTTTGTATCCCCCTCCATAAGCCCTTCCCTCCTCCCCTCCCAATTCCACCTTCCCTTCCCCTTCTTCGCACATGCCCCTCCCCAAGTCCACTGACGGGGAGGTCCTCCTCTCCTTCCTTCTGATCCTAGTCTGTTAGGTCTCATTAGGAGTAGCTGCATTGTCATCTTCTGTGGCCTGGTAAGGCTGCTCCCCCCTCAGGGGGAGGTGATCAAAGAGGAGGCCGATCAGTTCATGTCAGAGGCAGTCCTGCTTCGCATTACTATGGAACCCACTTGGACACTGAACTGCCATGGGCTACATCTGTGCAGGGGTAGAACATGTGTTCTTAACAGCTGAACTGCTCTCCAGCCTCCGACCTTGTTTTGTTTGTTTTGGAGACTGGTTCCTTCCCTGGCACGGAGCTTGCTAATTAGGCTGGGCTGGCTGGCCGTAGAACCCCGGGGGTCCTCCCCCCCACTTTAATTCTGGGGTTACAGTGCACAGCATCCTCCACGGCCCACCCAGCATTTGCATGTGGGCTCTGAGATCAAACCCAAGCCCTCCTTGCAAGGTAAGTACCTTCATCAACAGCCATTTCCCTAGCCCTTGCCTGCTTTTTTGATATAAAATTAAGGGGGTTGAACTATAGGATTTCTATGGCCTTTCCTGCCTATAAAATCTTATGATCCTAGAAACTGAAATTTGCCAGAAAAAGTTTCCCGGAATTGTATCAGTTCTCATACCAATTCACTTTTGGCTTTGAAACACAAAAAAGCCTTCCTGGTGCACGGCTTGCTGGTACTGCAAGGAGCAGGGCCACTGGAAGCCAGTGGAGGGTGGGTGGTGGTGCTTCCACCTGCTGGCGAGCAGCTGAATGACCCTGGATTATTTGCAACACTGCCTCATGTTCACCAGGCTTGTAACCCAGCTTCTGGAGGCTGAGGCAGGAGCATCACAAGTTCAAAGCCAGGTGGACAGAGTTCAAGGCCTCTGAGCAATTTACTGAGGCCTTGACTGTCAACATAAAAAGAGGGCTCGGGGCACAGCTCACTGTAGGGCATTTGTTAGCACGCTCAAGGCTCTAGAGCAGTGGTTTTCAACCTTCCTAACGTTGCGACCCTTTGATGCAGTTCCTCATGGTTTGGTGACCCCCCCATAGTTATTTTCATTACTAATTCATAACTAATTTTGCTACCGTTATGACTTGTAGTGTAAATATCTGATATGCAGGATAGCTGATGTGCGGCACCAAAAGAGGTTGGGACCCACAGGTTGAGAATAGAAGTGTCCCTTGCTTCAGTTGTCCTCGATTCAATTCCCACCTCTAGAAAAACAGATCCCATATTTGCTCTTCCCTGGCAGTCTCATTGTCAAGGGTGTTCGTGTTGTTAGTGATCTTTTGGCACTTGAGAGAGCTTAGGGGTCTTTGTGCCTTCCTCATGGCTGCCAGGTAAGGCCTGGGGTTCTCTGAAATGATTTCCTTGTTTGGATGCACACACTGTTCTTTCTACTGAAGATGTGAGATTCCACAATTTGCCTTTCCAGTGTATTCTGTTTTTCTCTTGAAGACCCACTTTGCAGTGCCCAGGGACAGAATCCTGGCTGACCACTGTCGTACAAACAAATCACCCCCAGCTTCCTGTGTATGCTTGAACCCAACAGTTCTTGGTCAATCCCTCTGGTTTTGTTTTTAGTGGTCCTGGAGATTGAGCCTAGGACCCCAGGCATGCTAGACAAATACTTTACACTACGCTCTGCTCTCAACCCTGCTTTCTTTCTTAGTTTAAGAATATTAAAAAAAAAATTTTTTTTCTGCATTCGTATATGCCTAGTACCCTCAGAGGCCAGAGGAGAGTTTCAGATCTCCTAGAACTGGAATTACAGACAATTGTGAGCTATCATATGGGTTCTAGCAATTGAACCCAGGTCTTCTGCAAGAGCAAAAAATGCTGTTAACCGCTGAGCCATCTCTAGCCTGATCTTATTTGAGACAGTGTCACAGAGTTGTCCATAGAGCTCTTGAACTTGGGATCCTCCTACCTCAGCCTCCAGAGCAGCTGGGATTACAAGCAAGTACCACTACATGCAATTTCACCTTTTTGGCATACTTTTTCCAATACTTTTTAGTTTTTAAGAGTTCAAAGCTTATGCCAGTAACCTCAGGCAACCTCAAAGGCAAAGGACCTGGGAAACACAGATGTCTGCATTCCTAGAGATAATGGTATGGCAGAGTCTGAGGACGAAGAGGGAGGGAGAAAATGGTGGAACTGACATATCCTTTTTTCCCCCGTTTGGCTGTAGGAACTTGCCCCTCTCCATTGGCATTTCCATGCCCATTGTCACCATCATCTACCTCTTGACCAATGTGGCCTACTACAGTGTGCTAGACATAAAGGACATCTTGGCCAGTGAAGCTGTTGCTGTGGTAAAGGATCTTCACTACAGGCTGAGGGTGTTGTGCGGTCCTGGGCATATCCCAGTTCATTTCAGTCGGGGAAGGGAGTAGCGTGTGGTAACAGCACAGTTAGGAGACTAGGCCTGCTAGAACGTTCTGTTACCTTGTAGAAGGGACTAGATTCCTGAGGACATTGGGCATGTGCCTGTGCATGTTTTTCATCCCTTTTAGATCTGCTAATGACATCTGTTCCTTTTCCTTAGACCTTCGCAGACCGGATTTTTGGAGTATTCAACTGGACAATTCCACTAGCAGTTGCATTATCCTGCTTTGGTGGCCTCAATGCTTCCATTGTGGCTGCTTCTCGGTAGGACTATTTTTTTTTTTTTTTCTGACAGGGGTGGGTATCATGAAAAACTTTGGCAGAAACAAACTTTAGGACTAGGGTTTCTGTAGCCAGCGTTCCCCAATCCCTTTTCTTCTTGTTCCCACTAGCCGCCACAGTTCTAAGCGCCACTGAACTTGCTTCTGTTAGTCAGACCTTTTGAAGGAAAAGCAGAAAGGGAGGATATGACAGGTGACCCAGGCTGCCCTATGTGCCCCAGATTTTTGTCAGCCTCTCTTGTTTTATCTCAACAGGCTTTTATTTGTGGGCTCAAGAGAAGGCCACCTTCCTGATGCCATCTGTATGATTCATGTTGAACGTTTCACGCCAGTGCCTTCTCTGCTCTTCAATGTGAGTGATCCAGGGATGAGACTGAAAGCCAGAGTGTGGGGGAGACTTAGCAGTACTAGATATGGCTATTCTAGGTTCCTGAAAGCCATGAAGGGGTTTCTGACCTAAAATCTATTGATGCCCTGTGCTATCTGTGGCTGGAGCTCCTAAGTGTCAAATTTCTGCGAGAAGACCACCTGTGGTCCAGGACAAGGAGTAAGGCGCGTAGACTACACTGTAATGACTAATCGCCATGATAGTGTGTGGTGTGCTCTTTAAGAGAGGACATGATCACTCCCATGGGGCAGAAGTTGGCGAAGGAAAGCTTTGTTGGAGGAGGGCATTTTAAGGTGGACTATGATGGTTAGGGTTGTAGAGATGGGCTTTATTGAGGTAAGGGAGACAGTGTCACAAAGTCCTGGGCTAAAGCTTCGTGGAGCTGTCACAGGAGAAGTAGAAATGTTAGCTGGAGACAATACAGGGTTTCATCCAGGACTTCTGGGGCTTTAAAGTGTCAGAGTTAACTTGGCAAAGGCTTGAAGACTGCAAAAAAATGCAAGTCTCCTTTTTTTTTTTTTTTTGAGACAGGGTTTCTCTGTGTAACCCTGGCTACCTTGGAGCTCACTCTGTAGACCTGTCTGGCCTCAAACTCCCAGAGATTTCCCCTGTCCCTGCCTCCTGAGTGCTGGGATTAAAGGAGTGCGCCACCACTGCCTGGCTAGAAGCAAAGGTCTTTTAACAAACAGAGAAGGGAAGAAGCACCCAGCGAAGAGTGCTTCAGGGGTGTGAGCAGAAGGCAGACATGGAGGCTGCGCTGCTGTGACCTGGGATGGGCTTTGAGGGACTGAGACGGGTGGAAAGCACCTGGAATAGACAGGGCAGAGAGGAGCTGACTTTGGACTTGCACCAACAGGGCATCTTGGCACTGGTCTACCTGTGTGTGGAGGACATCTTCCAGCTCATTAACTACTATAGCTTCAGCTACTGGTTCTTTGTGGGGCTTTCTATTGTGGGTCAACTTTATCTACGATGGAAGGAACCCGACCGGCCTCGCCCTCTCAAGGTAATTCATTCCTGCATCCCATCTTTGCTGCATTTGGTACAGCTTACGCTGCTGCCAAAGGGACCTTACAAGAGTTTACCCTTTTCCTTAGGCCAGGCACAGTAGCACATATCTGCAATCACTAAGCCACGGGTTGGGCTGGAGAGACGGCTCAATGGTCAAAAGTACTTGATGTTTTTAACGAAGAATCTGGGTTTGATTCTGTGTACCCACACTGTGGCTCACGACTGTCTAACCCCAGTTCCAAGGGATCCAATACCCCTTCTGGCTCCTCTGGTACCAGGCACATATGTGGTACCAGAGACATACATGCAGCAAAACATATATTGAAAAACATATATTGAAAAACAACCCCCCCCCCCCCAATACCATGCTGAAACAACAAAAAACACAGGGCTGGAAAGCCAGGCATGATAGCACATGTCCGTTGCTCCAACCCTTGGGAAGTGAAGGCCTGAAGACTAGGAGTTCAAGGCCAGGCTGGGCTACATGAGATCCCGTTAGGACTGGGGACACAGCTCAGTGGTAGAGCACTTATCTAGTTTACAAAAGGCCTTGGGTTAGATCTTCAGCACTAACTCAACCCCTGCCCTAAAATAAGCAACCCCCTACGCCAAAAAAAAAAAAAAAAAAAAAAGCAAACCAAACCCAGTAAAAACAAAATGTTAGAACTTGGTGGCAGCTGCATGCAGACAGTAGAAATAAGGCTTAGTACAATACCAATGTGTTCCATCTCTACCCCTTCAGTGTTTTTATCTTTATGGGGTTAGGATTACTTGGGTTGTTAGCTGTTCTGAGCTAGCTGGGTGCAGGGACCAATGCCTACAGTCCCAGCTGCGGCAGGGCTGAGTGTGAGGCTAGCGTGGGCTACAATGTGAGACCACCTCAAAACAAATAGCAACTACCACACAGAACGTGCTGAGCTAACTTGCAGTTGTTTCCTCTGTACCCTTAGCTCAGCATTTTCTTCCCCATTGTCTTCTGCCTCTGTACCATCTTCCTGGTGGGTGTTCCGCTTTACAGTGATACTGTCAACTCCCTCATCGGCATTGGCATAGCGCTCTCAGGGTTACCCTTCTACTTCTTCATCATCAGAGTGCCAAAGCACAAACGACCTCGTTGCCTTCGAAAATTTGTAGGTAAGCTTTGGATCTTTCACGTTGGCTCAGCTACCTGAACACCGCCCTTTTTTCTGCTATCCTATTAAGCACAAGGCTTACCTGAATCACTCCTTTCGGCCGCAGTCCCCTTTCGTATCACTGAACTAGCTCCGTTGTAACTCAGGTTTCTCGTTGCAGCCTCCACCACACGGTACCTCCAGATCCTCTGTATGTCAGTTGCTGCAGAACTAGATTTGGAAGATGGAGAGATGCCGAAACAACACAATTCCAAGTCTAAATAGAGTCTGAGATGTGAACAAAACAGGAGGTGTTTCTCTCCCATTGGCCGGAAGAACCTATGGGGGCACCATCCAGGAGCCCAGTCTGGCAGCTTCAGCTCTGAACTTGCTTTTGAGGGATGAAAAATAATTTATTTGTTTTGCTACAAGTTGTTTCAGATTTCATAAAGGGATAATGCAGACTGTGGCAGGAGGCAGGCCACTTCTGGGGCTTGGTTCTGGCAGTACCTGGGTGTCTACCCACTCCACTTTTCCTTTACAAGGGCCAACAATGCTCCAAACCTGTCTCCTTCAGAGGGACACAAAACTGTCACAGATGTGGAACAATAAAAAGGTTATGTTCCTAAAGTCTAAGTGGCTTTATTCTACCTAGTGACTCTGGGATATTTATGCAGTTCAAAAACAGACATGGAAACGAAATGATTCAATTTCTCCCTCGGAAGCCAGCTGCGAAAAGGTGGTAAAACCAATTTCTACAGACAAACCTAAACTGTTGTACCAAATGTCATAAACGTAAAAAGCTAGCACATAAAGGCGTCACCTTTTTAAATGTATGTATGTGCAGAGGCTGGAGAAGGGCACTGGGCCCTGCCATCTTCCATCTTACTTCCTTGAGACAGGCTTTCTCACTGACCTGGAGCGAGGCTGATAGCCAGCCAGCTCCAATGATCCTCCTGTCCCCACACCCCACAGCACTGGGGTCACAGGCATTACAACGGGGCCATGCTTGGCTTTTCACATGGGTACTGGGGTTTGAACTCTGAGCTGCTGAGCCATTCCCCAGCTTCCCTTCATTCTTCTAAGTTACCACTAAGAATTTCAGCACACCTGCTTCTTAGAGAAACTCTACAGGTAATCATGGAGGTCAAGAAACATGCTCAGGGCTGGTGACACAGGGTCAATCCCCAGCACAGAGACTGCCATACAGTCTTGCCACTGTACCTCTACAGTGCAAATGCAAATGCAGATGGCCAGTGTGGAGGGAGAGGTCTGAGTTTGAAGTCCAGGATAAGACATGAAGATCCTTCCCAAGAGCAAGAGCTAGCATGGGGAACCATTTCCACCATGTGTGTGTTCTGAAGCACAACTCCCCTTTCATTTAACGAATACCAAAAAAAGCCCAGACAAGAAAGAAGTTTACTAACTCCATGGATGGGAAGGTCACTTGGCTCTCCAGGGCTCTTTATACACACAAGTACGAGTCTGTAGTGGAAACAATTTTTAAAATGAACACTTCCAAAGCCCATAGTGTCCAGGTCTGGGGCAAGGACATAGTATCAAGTCTGTTTGGAGGAGTCCATGAAGAGGTACAGTTCTGATCAGGATGAGCATAAAATATGTCAGCCGAGTGTGTCACGCCAAGGCTGCTTTGGCTTTGGTTTGCTGCTGCTGCTGTTGCTGCCGGGAGTATTGGGAGGGTGACTTGGATCATGCTGTAGCAGAGGGTTGTGGGTAAAAGTCTGTCGTAAGGGACCTGGGGGAAGAGGGAACAAATCTCAGTGAACGAAGAGAAAGAAGAAATGGAAGACAGTATTTAGCCCGAAAGGTCTTCTTACCTCTGGCAGCTAGGTCCAAGTGTTTCTGCATTCGCTGCTCACGCTCTCGGAGCTGATGTGCAATTTCGGCATTTTTCCAGCCTGGGTGAGGAGAAAATAAATTTCTCTCTCATTTTTTAGGTTACTTTCTCCTGGTCCTGAAACCCCTGCTCCTTCCCTTTTGAGAAAAGTCTCAAGTTCCATAGCCCAGGCTGGTCTTGAGCCCACTATGTAGACTAGGTTGGCTAGGTAGTACAATCCTGCTTTGGCCTTGGGCTGGCTGGGATTCCAGGCCCTCCCCACAACCCCTTACCTGTTTTAAAGCTCTTCAAAAAGCCTTCCTTAGGAGGCAACTTGTCAAGGTCATGTACAACGCGCTGGGGGATCTTAAGCACTGTGCGCACAGCTGGAACCCGGAGGCAGGCCACTTGGCAAAGGGAGAAGACATTGGAGGACAGCCAGTACATGAACACTGCCTGCATGAACGAAGAGAAGGTGCTCAGGGCTGCGAGCCCAGTCAGCTTGCTCAGAGGCACTAAGTGGAAGGACCTGGAGGCAGCCACAAAGCCATTACCTACCGAGGGGAAGTGGATGGTCACCGGCAAGACCGCTAGGGGCATCACCCTGAGAACATTCCTCATGAACTGGAGGTCAGAGCTCTGCATACCTGTCTCAGCGCCTAGCTGTCAAGAGGGAGTTGAGGAAAAGCACAGTAAATTCCAATGCCTGACCCACCAACTTCGCTTCTCCAGGGAATGGAAGGTGTACATTCTGCATGCCATTCCATCCCTCCTCCCTGCTTACCGGCAGGCCAGCACTCCACCAGCCCCAGCTTACCTCAAGGACAGCCCACATTGTGGCAGTGACTACCAGCGGCAGGACGTAGATAGGATCGGACACTGTGAGATCTTGGAACCACCAGAGCCCACCTGTCTGGAGGCTGGGCACAGGCAGGTTGGCCATCTCTCTCAAGGCAATGAAGAAAGAGAGGAAGACGGGGGCCTGTCAGCCAGGATAAAACAGTCAGCCAGCACGCCTAACAGGAGGTGCATCTTTATATATAACCCATCACTAAAAGCCACGCATATCGCCGTCACCTGTTTTTATGGGAATCTGGGGACATGGGAAACAGGAGACAACTTGATGCGTTCAGAATGAATTAGCAGGGGAACATTTTGCTCACCTGAGTGAGAGGTAGAATGAGAGTTCTGAAGAGTTTGATATCATGCATTTTCTGATAGCGCAGCATCTCTAAGGAAGCCTTGTAAGCTGTGACAGGAGGGAAATGAATCACCGGGTTAAGAGTGACATCAGTGAAGATGAACCACCTCTTCTTGGGTTCATGAAGTTTCCAAGGAATGGATAAAGCCTCGGATTAATGAAAACTGCCCAACTGTAGCACCTGTGGTCCCCCGACCCCGGAAGAATGTCTCAAGGACAAATGTGCTTCTCTCCCGTACTTTCCCTGTAATGAACTCACACTCAGTCTGGTCTCCTGCCAACTTGGCCTCTCTGATTCTTGCGGAAAACTTCTGTATCTCTGGCATGTGGTTGTGGATCTTGGCTGCCTCTCGCTGGCCCTTCACAATGAGAGGAAACACAAGGATTCGGGCAAGGATCGTACCTGGAAAATAGACATAGGCTTAAAGTGAAATTAAAAGCTGCCACAGCTGGAAGGCTGAAGGTTTCAGGTCCTCACTCCAAGACTTCCTCCAGTCCGTTCCACACTGTGGCTCTCACCCAAGGGGCCCAGATGGAAGTACAGGGCACACCTAGCTCTTCAAGGCTCAGACCACTGTGGTAGAATACAAATTCAGTGTAACTTTTCTAGGTAGAGGGGCAGGGATCTTGTTTATTTCCATTAAAAACCACCACCACTATCACCAAGCAAAAGTTCCTTTTGTACTTCAATGGCCTTCAAACTTTTCTACTATAAGTGGAAACTTCTGTTAAGTATAGATGAAAATAAACAAACTAATTTACTCTCGGTAAAGGAAAAACATTTACCTAGACCCTTCACCCTGTTCAGCACCTCTACAGAACGCTGAGTCTTAGACTGAAATGTGATTTCATTTCTGGAGGGTCATGGTATGTATGAGCTGGACTTGAATGTATGCTCTTCTTTCCTCAGCCTCACAAGTGCTATCAATACACATATGTGCCATCATACAAAGCTGCAAAGTCAGTTTTCCAAGTCCCTAGAGTAGTCACCCACCACATATCAGTGCTTTAACTTTCCCCTTTCCTTACACGCCTGCCTACCGGGCATTCTAACAGATAATTAGCTTATGCTCTCTGTAGACATGTAAGTGGGTCTGGGCTAAGAAGAAACTAAAGAAACAACCCAGGTTGTAGAAAGGTGGAGTATCAGGTAACAAATATGAGCAGGTGTGGTCAGAAAAACAAGAAATCAGGTGGAAACCATAGCAAAAGCTTCACAAAAGCCAAGGAGAGCCTTTAAGCTTTAACATGTCTAACATACAAAGATTAAGTAGAATGAGAAAAGGAGATTTAGTAATGCCACTGCCAGCAGTTACAGTGAGGTGATTTTTAGCAAAACCCAGATGGCTGAGGGTCAAAGACTAGAAAGAAGTAGGTCCGCCAGATCCCTCAAGTAACAGGCATGTTTTACCTGTTCGTATCCTTAGTGTAATCAGCAAGGCACTGAAATTGGTTTCAGTGGTAGCTCATGCTTCTAATCTCAGCACAGAGTATCAAGAGAACAGTTCTGGCCTACACAGTTAAGATCTTACTTCAAAAAAAAAAATCCAGGGGGTAGGCTGGAGAGAGTGCTCAGTGGTTCAGTAATTGCTTTTTTGCAGGGGACCCAAGTTTGGTTCCCAGGACCCACATGAGGTGGTTCACAATTGACTGTAGCCCCAGCTCCGAGGAATCCAATGACTTGGCTTCTGCAGGCAAATGTGTATATTTATAGGGAAATACATTCCCAAATGTGTACACTACAATTAATCTTTAAAAAAACACTAGAAAACTAAGGGTCTTGGGAATTTGGCTTAGTGGTAGGACACTTGCCTAGCAGTTGCAAGGTCGCTGGATTCTGGCATTATATGAATGAGGTGCACAGACATGCACGCAGACGTTCATACATATAAAATAAAGGAAAAGTATTTATTTCCATTTAATGTGCATGAGTGTTTTGCCTGTCTGTATGCTCTTGAAGGCCAAAAAGGCATCAGAGTCCCTGGAACTGGAGTTAGACAGTTGGGAGTTACCCACCCTGTGGGTGCTGGGAATAGAACCTGGGTTCTTTACAAAAGCACCTGTGCTTTTAATCACTGAGTCGTCTTCGCTTTGTCCCTTCCCTAAAAAAACAAAACAGGGCTGGAGAGATGGCTCAGAGGTTAAGAGCACTAGCTGATCTTCCAAAGGTCCTGAGTTCAATTTCCAGCAACCACGCGGTGGGTCACAACCATTTATAATGAGATCTGGTGCCCCTCTTCTGGTGAGCAGGCAAATAAGTAACTCTTAAAAAAACAAAAACAAGACAAAAAAACCCCACAGTACCCCCTACCCCTAAGGGTTTCTGTTACCTTTGCTGTTCTGGAACTTGCTATGTAGACTAGGCTGGCCTCAAATTCATAGAGATCCTCTGTAGAGAAATTTTAATTCAGAACATGGCTGTTCTGGCAAGAGATCACATCCAAAGACCTTCTAGGTCTATGTGATCCGGCTGGAATACAAACAAGCCTTAAATCCAGGAGACAGTCAAGTAAATAAGAGTTCAAGGCCAGCCTGGTATAGAGCAAGTATCAGGTAAAGAAAAGGTTAGATCCAGGCATGGTGGTATATACCTTTAACTTCAAACAATGAAGGTGAAGTTAGTTTGTAGAAGAAAGCCATGTTTGAAAGTAATGTTTAATTGAGTGGCAGAAAAAGTGATGAAACACAGAAAGATTTGACAGAATAGGATATGCCCAACTTTCATGAGGCAAAGAAAGCTACTTGAGGGAGCAACACAGAGAATGAGGAGAGAGGAGGCAGTTTTACCGGGAGAGTTTTACAGAGAGAACAAACTAGACACAGAAAAAGCCAGAGAATGAGAAAGAACTGGGAGATTATAAAAGATTGCTGGGAGTTAGTTTGAGGCCAAGCAGAGCAATTCAGAGGCCAAGAAAAAAGCCGGATTGAATAAATTAGCTGGGAGAGGAGTTTAAGCCAGAAGAGCTGAATTGAAACAGCTAGCCCAGAGCTCAGTTAAGAACAAGAAAGTGTAAGCTTATTTAATTTTTCTTATATTTTTGGTTGTGAGCCTAGCTTTTAATGGCTGAGCCATCTGTCCAGCCCCGTTTTCTTTTTCTCAATGCTCTCTTTTGTTTGAATTCTGAGCCACAGTCTGAGCCACTCTTGAACTTCCAGGGAACTGAACCCTGGGCTCTCAGATTCCGGCTCAGGAGCCTTATCAATAGAGCTATCCAAGTCTCCCAAGGGTGAGCTTATTAGGTAGTAAGTCTCAGAGGCTGAAAGTGTTCTAGGCCTAGGTTAGCCGACAGATGCAGTAAGCCCCTCAGACATAAAACAGGAAAATAAAAGTTCCTTCTACAATCCTCTAGTCTCTGTGCCCCTTCCCCAGTCTGGGATTAATGGTGTACACCCCCACGCTTAGCTCAACTGAAGCTTTTGAAAGGCAGTTTCATATAGCTCAGGCAGAGTGGCTTGAGTAAGAATGGCCTCTGAGCTGGGCACAGTGGCACACGCCTGTAATCCCAGAACTCAGGAGGCAGAGGCAGGTGGATCTTTTTGAGTTTGAGGCCAGCCTGGTCCATGAAGCGAGTTCAGGACAGCCAGGGCTACACAGAGAAACCCTGTCTTGGGGTGGAGAAATGGCCTCCAAAGGGTTTTATGTTTGAATGCTAAATCATCAGATTTATTGGATGTAGCACTATTTGAGTGGGATTAGGGGATTGGGGGAAGTGTGTCTGTCACTGGGGTGGGCTCTGAGGTTTCAAAAAGCCCACACTCCAGGCCTGATGACTTCTTTCTGCTGCCTATGAATCAGGACGTAGCTCTCAGCTACGTGAGAGAGAGAGAGAGAGAGAACTCTCACCATGGCTGCCCTCATGCCACCATGCTCTCTGAGACGATGATAATGGCCTAAACCCCTTGAGAGTGTAAACAAATCACCAGTTAGATGCTTTCCTTTGTAAGAGTTGCTGTGATCTTGCTGTCTCTTCACAGCCACAGCACAGTGACTAGGGTAAAGGCTAGCCTTGAACTCTTTATTTAACCAAGGATGCCTGCACTCTGACCCTCCTGCCTCTACCTCCCAAGCACTGGGGGCAGACAAATGCTTAAAGTCTAGACAATTTTGTTTTTTTGATAGGGTCCTACTATGTAGCCCAGCTGGTTTTGTGCATAAATACCTGACCCACCCTTCTATTCTGCTTAGTCAGAGGAGCTTTACTACTTTCAATATGGTTCCCTTCTTCCTCCAGCTCTCAGCTCATGCTCGGATACTGTACCTTTTGAATCACACAAGTGTTTTTCTAATTCTCGTTAGGAACTAAAAGTCGAGTGTACCATCCTTTTCGAATCGTCTGCTTTCTGACCTCTAAACTTCTGCACCCATTCCCTTAATCCACCCACGGCGCTGCCGCTGTTGAGGTTCTGCCCCCATCTCCACTGCTCTTTCTCAGGATGTACACTTACACGTGGCAATGGCGCCCCACCAAGGTAGGCCTAGGTCAACATGCATAAATTCCAGGAGGTTCTGGATGAGCCCCACTGGGGTGACACCCCCAAGCCCCAGTTCAGAGAAGCTCTGTTCTGCAGCACACTGGACCACATCTGCAGCTTGTCCAGAAGCCACCTCAGGTACTGCAGCAGGGATGGAGGTTGCAGGAAGAGGAGGAGGTGCCTGGAGGTGAGAAATGAGATCAAGCATCATAAGTGGGCCAAACAAAAGAGAAGGATCCCTTATACTAACCCCTCCCGGCCTAAATTTTCTTGTTCTTCCAGGATGGCCAATGTGTCCATACATCCCTGCTTTCAAGGGATATTATTTTTGTCACCAGCATAAAAGAACCTTAAGAGTGTCTCATGGCTTCCCTTCTGGCAGGAAACTAGCTTCCTACATCAAGCTTCCCAGATTTCAGTCACTTGGGCTTCATGGTCAACCATCCTTCCCATATTCTGAAACTGCAGTACTTAGCATGTATAGCCGGCTTAGCTGCTCTGCGGGTTCTTCTTTCTTCCTCCCTTCCCTGCCCCTTCTCTTCCACCCTTTCAACCCCCCAACGCTAGACAGGAGAGAAAAAAGGATAAAGAGGAAAGGGGGTGACATTATTATGAGACTACTTTCTGGTGATTACAGGCTTTGAGCTCCTTTGGGCAAGTTTGATCTTCAATGTCAGGATATCTAATTTCTTCTTTGCCAGCAACTACTTCACAAACAACAACCAACAGCGACCAACAGCAACCACCAACCAACCAACAACAATGCCCCTCGGGGGTCCTAGCATTTATATAACCCCTGAGAAGTCCCCATAATTCCAAATGTCACACAATCACAGAAACTATCTGCAGCTGGCAAAATCATGCCCCAGCCACAGCACAAGGCAAATCATAGTCAGCTGCTGTGAAGCAGCTCCATATTCCCACACCTGGGATTAAAACAAAAACATATTTATATATTTCTGTGTTTTTAAATGAAACCAAAACTCTGAAATTCTTCCTACAAGAATACTTTAGTTGTGTGCTGGAAACTGAACTCAGGGACTCACACACACATCTGGCCAAGTACACAGACCACTGACCGAGCTAGCCCTCAGCCCACAGTTCTCTTTATGTCAACTCAAGTTTTTTTTTTTTTTTTTTTTTTTCATGGTAGTGGGGGTAGGGATAGGTGGGGGTGAGGAGGTAGTTTTGGAGGCAGGATCTTGATTGCTCTACAGTTCAGGCTGGCCTTGAACATGCTAACCACAAACTCTATTATTGAGTACATCCCCAAGAGATGGCTCAGGGATTAAAAACCCTTGCAGAGGATCCACTTTCAGTTCCCAGGACCCTTGTAAGCCAGCACACAACCACCTCTAACTCCAGCTCCAGGATCTCTGATGCCCTCTTCTGGTGCCCATGGTACACAGTCACACACATACACACAATAGGATAAATCTTTAAGAGAAAAACCCTATTTAGTCTTCTAAGAAACTGTTCACAGAATCACATATATTTAGTATACAAGTACGAAGACATAATTACATTTCACATTACAGGCTTGCCACCACAATGGCAATCAGTGTCTTGAATATAATACAAAATTTAAATCAGCTTATTTTTATTGTGCATAGGCACGCATGTCAAGCACGTGTGAAAGTCAGAGACCAACTTTGTGGAGCCAGTTCTCACCTTTCTCCTTTATTTTATTTTTTTGAGACAGAGTCTTACTAGGTGGCCCCGACTTGCTATGTTGACCAGACTGGTTTCGAACTCAGAGGTCTGTCCGCCTCTGCCTCCCAAGTGCCGGGATTAGAGGGACTGTGCCACAAGCGGCTCTACCTTCACTTGGGTTCCAGGACTGGCACTCAGGCTATCAGGGTTGCATGGCAAGGACTTTTGTACTGCTGGGTCATCTAGCCTGCCCCCCACCAATTTCTCGTGTACTTTCAAGCATTTCCCGCTGGGTTGACTGGGAATGTGTTCCTATTCCAAACGAAGAGGCTAATAGGATGAGGAGCTGCGTGGAGCGTGAAAAAGAACTCTGCTATACATTCACTCCCTACCGCAAAACAAAACAACAAACAACAGAGCAAAAGAAACGGGCCAAGAAGCAGCGCTCCTACAGTTGGTGGGAACCTCTTACCTGGGCTTCTGCCGAGACAGTGGCAGAAGTACTGATGCAGCGCGGACTTAGGGCGGCGAGGAGGGCATAGCGTGTCCGCCCGCTGCCCGGGCGGGCTGCGACGAGGACCTCGGCGGCCAGCGGCTTCAGGGACCCTGCGACGCTGTGGAACTGACCGTGTGAGAGGGTAAGGGGAGCCCTCGAGCCCGAGCCGAGCCCCCTCTCCCGCGGACCGCCTGCTGCAGCGGTCGGGACGCTGCTGTTCTGCTCGCCCTGACTGCAGGCCCCGAAGGCGTGCACTGGAGAGCGCAGGGCGCAGCTCGGCCCCTGCTCTCCCGCATCCCGTTGCCGAAGCCCAGCGACGGGGCCCAGAGGTCACGGCTCGAAGGCGGTTCCCAGACGGCCACCGAGGAACTCGGCCATCAACCCCTGCACGTAACCCTGCCGTGTCCTCACGCGACCCGAGGTCATGACACGCAGGTGACCAGCTCAGGGTCTGCTCATGACCTCAGCTCAGGTGACAGGGACAGGGCAGCAGCGTCCCGGCGCTACGGACAGGACCTTACCGAGCGCTGGGGCCGTAGGAAGCGCAGGAGCAGCGGACGACCGCACACTAAAGTCAGCGCCATCTTGCCGGGAAGGGAACTTCCGTTCGCGCGTGCGCACTCACAACCTTGACGCTGCCGGAGAGGCCATTTTGGAAATGGGCAGGAGGTCAGCGCGGTCGTCGCAGATCGGGTAGTGAGGGAGAATGGAGCGAGGCGATCCTATTTGAAGTGACTGAGGAGCTCCGACAAGTTCGCTCAGAGATGGAGGCTAAGACACACGCTGGTGACCGCTGTTAAGTGTCAGTGCAAACACGGCATATTTCCCGCTTTCCCTTCCATTTTCTAAGTCGTAATTGTCCTGTTTTCTTGGGTTAAAAATAGCCTTCACGCTTGGAATGGTGCCTCACGTCCATACTTCCAGCATTTGGGAGGTGAGGCAGGAGGATTGTTGGGAGTTGGAGGTAAATCTGGGTTACCTAGTGTGTTTAAAGCCAGCTTGGACTACAGAATGAGAGCCCCTCACGAAAAGAAACAAATCCCCAAAACAGAAGCAACCCCACCGACAGGCAAACCAGGAAAGCCAAAAGAAAACCTTCTATCTGTGCGTGGTTTGGGTTTTTTCAAGTCCAATGACACCCGATTCTTATTGCAAGATAATATGTAATTACGGATCCAACGAAATTCGAAAGCAGCCTGGAATCTGACAAAACTATAGGGAGGGCAGCTTCCAGGAAATGATTGTAGCTGTGACGAAATAAGACTAACGATGAACGTTGAACTTGACGTCATGGACCTGCTGTTTCAAGCTTGTTGTCACCTATTTGTAGGCTTGGTTGTGTATATCTTGAAACTGAAAGCTCCCCTATGGCTTAAGGCAAAGCAAGCTGGGTATGGCCCAGCACTAAGGAGGAAGCTGATGTAGGGAGATGGTCCCTACATCAGGTGAGTTCAAGGCCAGCCTGGTTTACAAAGAGTTCATCTTAAAAAAAAAAAATAAAAAAAAATTACTGCTTAGAAAGAAGGAAGCTGATTTTATATAGTTCTTTATATGTTACTGGATAGAAAATACAGATACTCTGGGGAAATAAAGACTTAAAGTTTATCTGATAGATTTTTTTTTTAACTTAAAAAATCTCATGTGTATGTGTGTGTGCATGTTCTTAGGTGTGTACATACATGCATGGGTATATTGGTTATCTTCCTCAGTCATTCTCTATTTATTGAGGCAGGGGCTATTGCTGAACCTGCAGCTGATCAATTTCAGCTAGTCCAGCTAGCCAGCTTACCCTAATGTCTGCTCTCTCTGTCTCCTTAGGTGCTGGGGTTACAGGCAGTTGCGATGCTTGCTCAGTTTTTATATGCATTCTAGGGATCTGAAATCTGATCCTCATGCTTGCAAAGCTAGTGCTTTATCTACTGAGCCCTCTCTCCAGCCCCTGTAACAGTGTTTTAAAGACATAATTCACATTCTATACAATTCACCCATTTAAAGAATATAGTTTAGGCTGGGTGGTGGTAGATCACGCCTTTAATCTTCCAGGAGGCAGATGCAGGTAGAGCTCTGAGTTTGAGGTCAAGCTGGTCTACACGAAGGTCAATGTTACACAGAGAAACCCCATCTCAAAACAAAACAAAACAAAACAAAACAAAACAAAACAAAAGTATCACTTAGTGTTTTTTTTAAAAAGGTATTTACAGAATTGTGTAAGAATCACAATTGATTTTGTGTATTTTCTGTTAAACTTTTCTAATTTTATTAGAATATTCTTTAGAATAAATAACCTTGAAGTCACTAGTGCTTGATATTTTAAAATCATGGAGTAAATAAACATAAACAAGTTTATCAGTGGGGGTCTCAGTGTTAAAAGTACTCGCTGCTCTTGCAGAGGAGCTGGATTCAGTTCCTAGCACCCACATGGCAGCTCACAACCACATATAACTCTAGTTCCAGGGAACTGACATCTTCTCCTGGCCTCAGTGGGCACTAGGCATGTGTGTGGTACACAACATACATGCAAGCACAGCACCCAAACCACATAAATTAGAAGGCACCAGGGTAGGAACTGAAAACCTAATGAGCATGGCAAATCTTGCCTATAATCCCAGAAGAGAAGCTGAGGAAAGAGTTCACAGTGTGAGGCTAGCCTGGACTGCAAAGTATGTTACAGGACAGCCTGGGGTGCAGAGTCAGACCCTGGCTCAGGAAGAGAGGAAAGAAGAACTGCTCCCAAATAACCCTACTTCAACCTTAAGTATCCATGGGAAAAACACTCATTCCAAGATACTGCCTGATAGTGCAAAGATGGTACAACAACAAACCTTTAGCGTATCTTTCTGGAGAACAGTCACCTAAAACACACAGAGGCTGCTGCAGTTTTGTCCAGGTGACATCTTAAGTTGCCAGTACTTACACTCATGTAACATGTAAGCTGACTCAAAGTTAAACGAATACCTTGATTCTCCAAGAACACTCTGAATTTAGACTTTTGATCAATGCTGTAGCTGTAGGACTTAAGGGATTCTCAGGGATGGACTAAAAGAGTTCTGAATTAGATGAATATAAGACTTAAGGGCCAGGAATAAAATATTATGGTGTGTGTGTTTTGGGTTATTTGTGTGTGTTGTGGGTTATTAATATTTATTATTGATTTATCTTTTAGTTATACAGCAGTTATTCCTAAGCCAGCTGTATACCCAAATCACCACACAGAGACTAGGCTTTGTTTAATTAACCTAGAGCACAATGCTTGGCAATGATTACTCCATCCTAAACCTCCAAGCCCACATAGTTTCCTCCCATTCAGATTTTCCACATTATACTTGCTGTTAGTCATATCATAGGTCTGGTTCATCTCTCCTCATGGTTCCAAGTCCTCTCCTGCCCATCTCTGCTTTCCTACTCCTCCCACTGGGTTCTCTCTCCTCCCGTCTGGACCAGGATGTCCCACCCTATTCTCTCCATTGCACAGCATTGGCTGGTTGTTTTATTGAAAATACAGAGAACAAATGGTGGAATGTTTACACAAACTTGAGACAGGTGATGCCTAGAATAAACATCACAGTGCAATTTCTGGATTGAAACCAGACAGTGGGGTAGAGAAATCAGCATTTGAACGAACAAGGAAAAATTGAGCACATTCCACAAGAACATTATGCCAACATTTTCCCCTTTAAATCCAATAAAACACTTCTTTTCTTTTAATACAATAATAATAATAATAATAATAATAATAATAATAATAATAATAATAGTAAAACAGTTATGAAAACTATTAGGTGAGATTTACATGTACAACATCCAGTCCATGTGCATTTGGCAACTTAGAAAGTATTTGATTATCTATTCTATTTTGACAAGTTTAGAGTTCTATACCTAAATTAACTTTTATCCTTATTGGTATTACGTATATGAAAACATTTTCTTAAATTCTAAACAACTTAAGCTTAATTGTGGAAATATATCTATTTGGTCTTCAACCCTACCAGAGACTTGAGAAGGAATAAAATTAATTACTGGAGTAAATAGGAAGTTCATGTTAGCAACTTGCAAAAAAATAAAAAATTGACAAGACAGCTGCCCGAATAGTCACCCAAAACTATAACATTGCAGCATCATCTTCAGCTTTCTGACAGACATATATATATGAAGCAGGAACTATTTAGGACTTGCTTACCCTGTCTTGGCAAAGTTCAGCAGTCAACTTGTCCTGCATTTAAGCTTGCCCATTTTTGGCAGAATTCTGTCTGTTGTGAAGTGAGGGTATTTTCCTTACCAGAGTGGCTGGCTTGCCACATTTGAAGCCATCTCCATATGGAGGTTCTTTATGCTCATATCTTCTTTAAGGTAGGCTGGGTGCTGCCAGGAGATGACATGTCTCATTGTCAAAGAATCTTTAAAATAATGAAAACATTTTTAAATGCCATATTTTGTAGGTCTCTGAGGTTTTTGAAGACTTACCTAACTTTCTATTATCGACCTATCTATAGAATCATGGCTATCTGTTAAACTTAGGATGTATACTCCTGTGATAAATTAGACTAGTGTCTTACATGACTATGAGTTAATTAACTAGTAATTAATTTGCATTATATAATACCTTAAACAGTTTGTAATAGCTGTTTAAAAATATTGGAAGTAACCTTGAATTTGTATCAAGGTTAATACTAAAATTTACCAATGTATTAAAAATACTTATTTTTGCATCAATATACAAAATCCTATACCAGAGTTAAAAAATAACCTTATTTGAGAATAGCAAAGAAAGCCTTGAGTAGATTTAATAATCTACCTTTTGTCTTATTATTTCTATAAGATATCCCTGTATTCCCCTTTCTTTCTTTTCAACCCCTTTTCTCCTTATCTAAGAAAGATAGAGAAAAGAAAAAGGAAAGGAGAGAAATCCCTTAGTCTAATCTTGTTTTCCCTCTGAATAAGATGATTTATAATTTATAACCATCTTCCAATGACAGTAAAAATTCGTAGCCATAGAAAACAACCAAAAACCTACCCAACCCCCTTTAAAGGAAATTGGATGTTATTCTCATGAATTTTTTCCTAGCTGATATTTTGGGTGCCAAGTTGACTTGTGGTGGTTACTTTTGATGGCAGGTTACAGAGATTAAGAAACACTTAGGGTCTTGATGATGTATATATTTGGATATGTCCATGAGGGATTTTTTTTTCTAGAGAAATTTGATTGAAAGGTAAAGGTGTTAGAGGTTGGTCTAATGTATTGTGTATTCAGCTCCTGATTTTTGTGGCTCGAGATCTGGTTATAGTCCAAGCATGCACATCATCTTTTCAATGAAGAATCTCCTGTATAAATGTTGTGTAAATATTACTTCCCAGTTATCTCTGATTGACTAATAAAGAAGCTGAACAGCATACGACTGGGTAGAGGAGATGGAAGGTTGGACTTCCGATGTAATGAGGAGTCTCAGGGACCACGAGGTAGGGAGAGAAGAGGAAGAAGAGGGAAAGAAAAGATGTAGCCATGGTGACTGACCTGATGGAGCAGAAGTGACCAGGTAGGACCAATATGGCAAATAATTTGGGGAGTATGGCTGGGATGTAGCCAGACTAGCACAGAACGTTGGAATGAATGAA